CGTCAGAGGGTTTGTCGTGTTTGGGGAACTGGGTCAGAACAGGCTCCGCTGGGATGAAGGAACAGCTGGCATCCCATTTGCTGCCGTTCTAAATCCAGATGGCGGAGACCGTGGCCCTACGCTGCCACGCCTGGCCTCTTTGACGTCAATTCTGGGTCTTGTTGAGTCACGGAAAACTCTCAAGGTAAAATTAGCATCCGTCAAAAGCATCCGGGTTCTTGTTAAAACTTGGCAACTCTTCCTCCTGCCACCCCGGGAAGCATCGCTGTCCCTTTCTCCTTTCCATTCTCAAATCAAAAGAAAGCTTTCTTGGCGGACAACCACTTTCAGCCACGTCTTCCACCATATTAATCTTCTGGCTCGTCAAGCCCGGGAGCTAATGCTGCAGTTGGCAGTGAGAAGCACAGTTTGTGTAGCTTTTAAGCGCACCTCCTGAGGCCGGGCAAATGCTAAAAAGGCTTATCTTGGCACCTGGAGGTCCATGTCCCTTGGTTCCTCTTTAGGAACGAAGGTAATTAAGCTGCACGCATCTGGACCGTCGATTGTTTGGACTTTGCCGTTGAGTGACAGTCAACGAACTTTACAATTAAGGGCAGGGGACATGTGTACCCTTACACACAATTCTTCATTAGTGGCTTTTTCAGGAGCCAATTGGCAGTCCCGCTCCTGCCCACAAAGCAATCTTTCCAGAGGACACAATGTAAAATTGCTAATAACGAGATAGCTGTGGCTCCCACGGCTTGACGCAAAAGGTCTGAGGGAAATCAAATGGAGGTTTAAGGGGAAAAAAAGAGGCGTGACGCTACCTAACGAAATGAAATTCAATGCAGAGAAAAGTAAAGTCCTACACTTAGGTAAGAAAAACCAAAAGCACACATATAGACTGGGGGAAACCAGGCTTAATAGCAGTGACTGTGAGAGGGATCTTGGAGTCTTCGTGGACAACCAGCTAAATATGAGCCAGCTGTGTGCAGCGGCAGCCAAAAAAGCCAATGGAATCCTAAATTGCATTAACAGAGGGATCCAATCAAGATCAAGTGAGGCACTAATACTAGTAGGACCACACCTAGAGTCCTGCATCCAGTTTTGGTCACCACACTATAAAAAAGATGTTGAGACTCTAGAAAGAGTGCAGAGGAGAGCAACCAGGATGATTAGGGGACTGGAGGCTCAAACATGCGATGAACGGTTGCAGGAACTGGGCATGGCTGGTCTAGTGAAGAGAAGGACCAGCAGACAGGATAGCAATGTTCCAATATTTGAGGGGCTGCCCCAAAGAAGAGGGGGAGTCAAGCTATTCTCCAAAGCACCAAAAGGCAAGACAAGAAGCAACGGATGGAAACTAATCAAGGAGAGAAGCAACCTGGAATTGAGGAGAAACTTCCTAACAGTGAGGACAATTAACCAGTAGAACAGCTTGCCTTCAGACATTGTGGGTGCTCCATCACTGGAGGCCTTTAAGAAGAGACTGGACAGCCATCTGTCTGAAATGGTAGAGTGCCGTGATGATGAACCTATGGGTACGCGTGCCAGAGGTGGTATGCTGAGCCCTCTCTGGGCATGTGCACCATCGCCATATGCTCTTCTGGTTTCCAGCATGCACCTGCACGCCGGTCACTTGGACTATATAGGTGTCGGAGCACCTGAAAACAACCTGAAAAAACAGTCAAAAATGGCCTGAAAATAGCCCCCCAAAAGCCCGAAAAATGGCCTGAAAAAGGCCCAAAAACCAGCCTGAAAACAGCCCGAAAAATGGCCCAAAATGGCCAAAAAAACAGACATGCTCAAACCAGCCAGCTGATCTTCGGGTTTCTGGCGCTCCAGCACATACACATGCACACATATGCATGCGTGTTTGGGCACTCGGCATCACTGATATAATAATAATAATAATAATAATAATAATAATAATAATAATAATAATAATAATAATAATAATAATAATAATAGGATTGTAATTGGAGCCCTTGGAGCAATACCCAAAGGGCTACCCCGCTATTTAGAAATTCTAAATTTGCCGGACTTGAACATTTTGACTCTACAAAAAACCACCTTACTCGGAACAGCTTACATCCTCCGACGATACCTTAACAGTTCCTAGGTCCTTGGTTAGGACTCGAGCTGCTGAGCTATTAACCAGCCTCAAAGGCTGTGAATCTCATTAAAGATTAACCAATAATAATAATAATAATAATAATAATAATAATAATAATAATAATAATAATAATTAATAATTATAATAATTTTATTTCTATACCGCCCTTCTCCCGAAGGACTCCGGGCGGTGTACAGCCAATTTAAAAACACAAGACACAACAGTGATTAAAAATTAAAATAATTAAATAGATTTGGCCGATTTAAAACCCCAAAAATTTAAAATACCCCAATTTAAAATTATTATGTTGATAGCCTGGCCTGGCGGAACAACAGGGTCTTCAGTGCGCAACGAAACACCCGGAGGTCGGAGATCTTACGTATTTCCGGGGGCAGTTCATTCCACAGGGCTGGGGCTCCCACAGAGAAGGCCCTCCCCCTGGGTGTCGCCAGCCGACATAACTTGGCCGATGGCACCCTGAGGAGACCCTCTCTGTGGGAGCGGACTGGTCGGTGGGAGGCATAGTGACTCCTGCTTGAGCCGGGAGCTGGACTAGAAGACCTCCAAGGTCCCTTCCCACTCTGTTCCGAATCAGAAGCCTCTGAGCCAAATATCTGATCTTATTTCGACCCGGTAGCAAATGTTGGGCATCATGTTGTTTGCGTGCCTGAGTTTCTACCATTGATTAGATGGAAAAACCCAGGGTCAGAGAGATTGAACTTCTGATCTGGGAATGAAGCCGCTCTCCTGATTACCCTTGCAAGGAAGAGCTGCCAGAACAAGCAAGGTTAACAAAAAGAAAGCTAGTCACTCTCGGTTAAGTGAAAAGTGAAGAGCCATAAATATTTATTCCCCTCTGCCAATGAGCAACTTCTAAGGAGATTTTATTACCGACATACAAGCAGTGGGGAGCCGAAAGCTGAGCGTTTTGTGTGCATTCTCTCTTAGTCTTCGTTCTGTCAAAGCACGCGTGCACGGATTAAATCTTGCGCATCTATGCACCGGCGCTCGGTTTGCCCAGCATGGGAGAAAAGTGATTCAAAGCTTGTCAAAGGGCTAACAGAGCGGAGAAGGAAACCTTGGGATTTCGAATCCAACCCTGCAAAATGATTCCTTCTTCTACTTCCAGCTCTACTCCCAGGAAGAGGAACGAAAACCCACTCCGAGCGAAGGAAGCTGAGCTTCGTAGGTTTAGAGGTTTTGTTTTGATTTGGGTATTATTATTATTATTATTATTATTTTTTAGAGTGAAGCTGTTTTCCACACCACTTTGTTATGTCCGAGTCTAGACAGGTTTGTAGATTAAAAACAAAAAACAACAACAACCTCAGAAGATGCTGGCTTGTCTTACTGGGCATTCTATGGAAGACCGATGGCTTTTGAAGGAGAAGAACGTTTCCATCCATGTCTCAAGGGGTTTGATGCCAAGCGTCTTTTTAGGTGGATCTTGGAGTTTTCTAGATGGATGCAAGACGACAGAGATTGGTGAGGGGGATGGAGCTGTCTTGGGGACTTAGTTCTGTCAAGTCTGCATCTAGAATAGAATAGAGTAGAGTAGAGTAGAGTAGAGTAGAGTAGAGTAGAGTAGAGTAGAGTAGAATAGAATAGAATAGAATAGAATAGAATAGAATAGAATGACAGAGTTGGAAGGGACCTTGGAGGTCTTCTAGTCCAACCCCCTGCTTAGGCAGGAAACCCTGCACCACTTCGGACAAATGGTTATCCAACAAATTCTTAAAAACTTCCAGTATTGGAGCATTCACAACTTCTGGAGGTTAATTGTTCTAACTGTCAGGAAATTCCTCCTTAGTTCTAAGTTGCTTCTCTTCTTGATTAGTTTCCACCCATTGCTTCTTGACCTGCCTTCAGGTCAGAGGTGGGTTTCAGCAGGTTCTGACCAGTTCTGGAGAACCAGTAGCGGAAATTTTGATAGGTAGGTAGGTAGGTAGGTAGGTAGGTAGGTAGGTAGGTAGGTAGATAGACAGACAGACAGACAGACAGACAGACAGACAGACAGACAGACAGATGATACATAGATATGGATGGATAGTTAGGTAGGTAGATAAATATAGATTAGATAGATAGATAGATAGATAGATAGATAGATAGATAGATAACAGATAGATAGATAGATAGATAGATAGATAGATAGATAGACAGATTGATAGATAGATGATATAGATAGATAGATAGATAGATAGGTAGATAGATAGATAGATAGGTAGGTAGGTAGGTAGGTAGGTAGGTAGGTAGATAGATAGATAGATAGATAGATAGATAACAGATAGATAGATAGATAGATAGATAGATAGATAGATAGATAGATAGATTGATAGATAGATGATATAGATAGATAGATAGGTAGATAGATAGGTAGGTAGGTAGGTAGGTAGGTAGGTAGGTAGATAGATAGATAGATAGATAGATAGATAGATAGATAGATAGATAGATAGATAGATGATAGATATGGATTGATCAATTGATCGATAGGTAGATATTCTAGTAGATAGTGACATCTTTGGGATGCTGGAAAATTGGCGGAAGCTGGAGAAACAATGTCACAGTGGAAAATGGGACCTCGCCATGAGAGAAGCGCAAAACTTCCATTTTCAACCCAACGCCACTGCATCCTCTTTTGACCTGACCATGTAGACACCTTTGTGTGAACTTCCTCTGCATCGGACTTGCACCTAGGAAGAGGGGGAATGGGAGACAGAAGAAGCACTTAAGGTTCAATATAGGTTTCCTTCTTCCCATCCGCTGAGCATCTTCGGATGTTCCTCTTTGTCCCTGCCTAGAGATCTCCTGCTGGGCAGAATGATGAATAAATGTTTGAAAATATAATTGGAGTTGCTGGGGAGCTAACAGGATTTAAACTGTAACGCAGCATGCCCCAGGCCCTGCC